TTTTTTTTCATTATTTTCTGCTACAGCTGAGGATATTCATGTTTGCAGAAGTGTTTTTATTCTCATCATCTAGATCCCCTTCTGTTTGATATTGGTAGAAAATGCCAATCCATTGTTTATTTTCCAACTATTATTTGCTACCCTACTAAAATAACTCAAAAGTCACAGAATTCTTATGCCCATGGAGTTGATTGTGAGGAGAAGACAAGGAAAAATGAAAATTATTCTGTTAGATGCCTTTATAATTAAACTACTGGATCTGAGAAAAGGCACCAACTAAGTTTAATTAAAATATATTTAAGATTATTTCTTTTGTGAAAAATATAAGTTGGAATTTTGTCAAGGCAAGTAAAAACCTTTACTCAGTTGTTATTAAAATTTAATTCATGATACTTATCTACAAGATATAAAAATATTGGTGTAAAAAATATTGCCTGCATGGTGATAAACTACCAGGTAGTTTTAATATGTAGCCAGGATTAAGATCCATGCTCCTTAAAAGGGGGTCCTCGGGCCAGCAGCACTGACATCGTCTGCAGACCCATTGAATCAGAGTGTGCAGCTGAATGGCATCCCCAGGTGCTCTGGGATCAAGAGTGACGTGTCCCTGCAGTTNAAATTTAATTCATGATACTTATCTACAAGATATAAAAATATTGGTGTAAAAAATATTGCCTGCATGGTGATAAACTACCAGGTAGTTTTAATATGTAGCCAGGATTAAGATCCATGCTCCTTAAAAGGGGGTCCTCGGGCCAGCAGCACTGACATCGTCTGCAGACCCATTGAATCAGTGTGTGCAGCTGAATGGCATCCCCAGGTGCTCTGGGATCAAGAGTGACGTGTCCCTGCAGTTGAGAAGGGACTGCATATCCTCTGATCAGCATTTCCTGCTTCCCTACCATGCTCCAATCTCTCCTCCCAGACAACTATTTCTGATAACCCCTGTGCCTGCTCCTTTCCTCAGGGTAAAGTCCATCCTTTTAATCTGGCCCTCAGCCCTTTGCAGTCTGTGCGCTCTCCTCTTCACCTTCTTTTACATCAAATGAACCTTTGACTCCAGTCAAATCTCCACATAGGTTTCAGTCTCTCATGCCGTCATTCTCACTTTTTTAACTTTTCCTTTGAAACCCGAGATCAAACCCTCCCTGCTCTAAGAAGCCACTTCTAAGTGCCATGGACACAGTAATCCCTTTGTCCCTGTACTACTGTTTCAGGATTTGATTAGCATGGCACATTGCTTGTATTGTGATTCACTCCCCTTTTACAAGTTAAGGTATAAAACAACATAAAGAGTGTAAAGTGCACTAATCTTGAGTGATCATCTTGATGATTTTTTTTTTACATCTGTATAAACCCACATCCATTTTTCTTTTTATGTGTATGTCCACCTACCTAACTACTGAATATCACTTAAGGGCAGAAGTATGTCTTTTAATTCTAGAAAAGAAGCCCCACATAGCTTGCACCTGATATATCTTGGTCTAAATCTTTTACTGTATCCTGAATAAACACTGCCAAATTGTTTGTTCAGACAATATTCACAGGGGGAGAGAGGATATACAAGGGTACTTCCAAAAGTTTGTGGAAAAATAGAATTAAAAGATAATATAAATCTTTCCATGAACTTTTTAATGTACTGTCTTACAAACCTCGATGAGCAGGGGCAAGCCTCTCAATTTGAACAAATGCTGGAAGGAAAAGGACACAATGATTCCTGGGTCCACACCTGGGGCTCTGGCTGAGTGCTCCCTGCGCAGGCTTTACTGCTCTGTCATCAGAGGGCTCTAGGCACTATCATGAGTCAGAGCACCAGGCCACACATGCATTGGCTCTGGGGACACTGCAGGAGCCTCTGTGCGAGGCCCAGGAATCAAGCCCAAGACAGACACAGTCTGGTCCTGCTCCCTATGGAATTTACAATCTAGTTGTAGAAACATGAACCCCGGTAAGCCAGGCAGGCATTTTGTTAATTCCAGCCAGCCAATGTACTGGGGAGCTCTGAGTATTTTCTGATTGTTAAACCTGCCCCCTTCCGCTGGAGAAACTGTTTTAGAAATTTTATGCTTGGCTGTCTTAATCCTGAACTTTAGCTTCTGCAACCCAGCTTGCTTCCTGCACCCATGCAAATTAGGCTCCAGAACTGACCAAAGAGCTATGTCTCATAGCCAACCAAACATGGACTAACATACTTGCATCCCTCATTTGCATAAGAGGACCTAAATGAGAACTTGGGCAGGAAGTCTTTGGCAATATAAGGCGGGCCTTTTCCCTCATTTGGGGACACCAGCCTAATGCTCCTGCTCTCCTTGCTTGCAAGCAATGAAGCCTTGTAACATCAAAAAGAACTGTAACACCAAAAAGAGCTGTCAACTATTAAAAGAGCTATAAAACCAGCGTTTTTGGTTTCCTCTGTGTGAGCGCCTCACGACACTGATTAAAATAAAAATTAAGGGGCCTATTCTTCAGTTTGTTTTATGTCCACTGACTTGCAGCCTTTTGCTAATAGTACCCAAAACGCCCCCAAGAGGATGTTGTGTTTATTGCAGAGGAAGCCCTCACATGTGCTTTACATTGTGACTAGCTGGCTGACCGATACTGTATTCAGTTAATAAGGTTATCAGACTTGTGCTTGTTTTAGACGGTCTTTTCTAAATCAAAGACAGCAGGGTAGGCACACAGTGTCCAAGCCTCATGGTATGCCTGCATTTGAAAGGCACAGATGCACTGACACTACTTAAGAATAAACAGCTTTAGCAAGAAAGTTCTCCAATAGTACACATAGTATTATCTGGGTTCCTGAACTGATATAAACTAAAAGTGGAGGAGAGGAAAATTAAGCTTGCATATCAGTCCACTCTTTTTTTCCCATTAATTTTAAATCTATGATAGAGATTGTGTTTGAAGGCAGAAAAGTAAAATGAAGAACTAAGTGTAAAAGTAGTACAAGCCGTTGCATGGAAGATGAACTATTTCCCTGGTATGTTTGAACTGATCCCTTTTGAAAATTATATGTCTCTGGCCTAGGGAAGATTCAATATGAAGAATCAATTAAAGTAACAATTACAGTAGAAAAGTAATAGACAGGGCTCCTAGAAATATGGCATGCTAACCAAACAAAAATTCAGGTGATAAGATTGAGGGCAAGTTTGGAAAAATACCATGCTTTCTGAACTAAATCTACCTCTGAATTCTTCCTTCTTAAGTAGCTTTTAAAGTAGGATGCACACTAATATGCAATAACAGGCAGTTTAAAATGATTTATTTTATAAATTTCTGTGATTTACATTTCAGCATTTCATCAATTGCAAAAGTAAGTAAATAATTCATGGGCTGTAGCACTTTTGAAAATAATATTTATGATTCATAAAAATGTACATTCATATAGTATGAAATGAACATATTTTAAGAAAATTCAAGCGTATACAAGCATTGTTTAATCTCACAAAATATATTAATTTTGTTGGGAATATTTGCTACAAAAGGGTCTTGAATTTACTGAAGGATTCAACACTAAGCTATTTTTTAAGTTGTAATTACTTTTTCCAGTCTAAAGAGGGTTAAGACTCATGGCCTACAACTATATGGATGATGAGACATGGCCTTCTAGAGGGATGTTCTTGAGAAGATGCTTTAGTTGTCTATTACAGAAGACTTCTGAACGGAATCCAGTCAAATATAAACGAAACTTAAATATGAGGGTCAGTCCTCATTGGCATACAGCTTTTTTTTCCCCCCTTAAACACTCATTCACTCTGGAAAACATGTTATAATGATGAATAGTTGCTATGAATCTTTCAAAGAGCTTGGAAGAGTCCCTATAATTATTTCCTGAACAGTGGAATTCTCTTATGGAGAAATCTTCCAGTGAAGGAAAAGATGAATTAAAAACACTTGTATTTAACTTAGGTCAATATATTTTTCTTTTTTTCTTTTTTTTTAAAAGATGACCGGTAAGGGGATCTTAACCCTTGACTTGGTGTTGTCAGCACCACGCCCAGCCAGTGAGCGAACCGGCCATCCCTATATGGGATCCGAACCCGGGGCCTTGGTGTTATCAGCACCCCACTCTCCCGAGTGAGCCACCGGGCCGGCCCAGGTCAATATATTTTTCAAGGCAAGAGGCAAGTTGCTTTTCCCCCGGTTTGAGGCTATGAGAAAGTGGTGGCTACATGCTTTAGTGTTCAGCCAGAGAACACACACTGTCATTTCCGGGAGGATGAACGGCAGTACAGCTGGACTCTAGCCTTATAGAGTTAAACCTATTTCTTTCTTCCCAATCCTACCTCTTTCATTCTTCCCAGACTTCCAGCTGACCGGATGTATATTTAAGTTATTTGCATGGCTAAGTAAAACATTCCAACTTATATTTTCAAGGTTTTTAAGTAGTTGTTCCTTTAAGACAAAACAGTAAATCAAATTATTAGAACTTAAAATGCAGTGCTAATTTTATTTCTATTTTTGGTTGTTAAAATCAAAAAACCTACTGTCACACAGCCGCAGATTCTCTCCAAACCAATCAACAGTTCTTTAGCAACGTCAGAGTGAATAATGTGACTGCCATGATAATTAATGTACTTTATAAGAAGTCTAATTAAAGTGTTGAAATAGGAAAATAACTAGAAATGTGTGTTAGAGAGGTTCGTTTGAAAGAAATTGCCAATNTGAAATAGGAAAATAACTAGAAATGTGTGTTAGAGAGGTTCGTTTGAAAGAAATTGCCAATGTTAAACAGAAGTCTTTTTAAAAACTCTAATAAACAGAATACATGAATGAACAAATTTAACTTTTCCTAATAAGGAAGTTATGTTGCATTTTCCCCAGTCATACAAAGACAATTATCACACGAAAAATTTATAGAATGTAAACAGTAACAGAGTATTACGAAAAAATGTCCTAAGATAGTTTTAGTATAAGTTATGTCTACACATTAATAGTCAATTGTAGTATCACTTAGATGACAAAAACCACGATATACAAAAATAGCACTGTACATTGAATAAACTCAAAGAGGTGTTTATAGCTGGGTAACCAAACTAAGTAATCATTTCCCCTGCTTTAATTTTTCTGCACCACCTGTCATTCTAAATCAATCACACTAAATTAAAAAACAAAAAACAACAAACCCAAAAGCCAACCACCTTCAGTTTGATAATTCTCAGCAGAAAACAATACATGGGAACTAGAGTTTTGACCAAATTTTCGAGAAAGATTCGTATATACCAAATCAACTAGTTCTGTTAAAAGGCAGCTATAAAAATACACATCGTCACAAGCTATAC